TAGAACAAGAAAACTGCAAATAATCGGGTAATAGAGAACTTAGGGATGAATGCATGAAATCTAGGTTTTCACTTCAAAATAATAGGTAGTTTCATAAGTTCGCACCGTTTTTATGAACTGAGAAATGACTGCGAAGCTCAGCATGGGCACTTGAAATCATCTTCAGACTCAGAACAAGCATCATTCATATAGTTTGCAATGAGCGGAGAAATTTTTGGCTAGTGAGGCGAGATCTGAGGAGTACTGCGGACAGTGATATATTCGCAGTCAAAACAGGACTTCTGATGACGTTTGCTACGAAGCCATTTTATCATGCAGAAAAGCTCATCGGACCTGCCTTTTGGGTGTCTTTTTGCAGAAGCGATCCGTTGAACGATGCTATAAAGTTGCGTACGGTATGATAGACTGTTTTATTCTTGTCTAGCAATTTCCAGCGCAGGACGTTCTGCTCTTCCCTCAAAAAGTCTTATTCAAGTGAAACCTGTTCAACACCTGGTTCTTTTGAGCAAACCAAATTCTTTGTGTTTTATATTGTTGCGCGAACACCATTTTCGAAAATAGACAGAATTCCGGGAGATTTTTGAAAACCTCGATGCAAGAAAACCTTTGAATTAACGGCCGATAATTTTCTGTGGTTAATTTTCTCCATTTTTTGCACATAACCGTCATAATTTGATATTGGTGTGGAATGGATTTCAGCATGAAGCAGAGCAATCCACCAGTACCTTCACTGAACCAGGTGAAACTCACGAGATGATAACAGCAACATCAACAACAGCGCCGACAAGAGCAACGAGTGTCAGCGGACATGATCTGACCTCGACAGCAACTACTGGACAAGTGTCTCTGTAGTGTAGAACTATGCCTCACGATATTTACATAATTTACATTTGCGACAAATATTCTTTTACAAACATAAGGGTATTGACATTGTCAGTTTAATTAATAAATCTTGTGTGTTTACACGAGTTGTTCGATGGGGCCCTTTGTACAGTCGAGTAGACTTTCCGCTTAATATAATGTGCTTGCACTGCAGGCAAGATTCGATAAAATTTGCGCGTGAACAATTAGCTGCGCCTCTGACGCCGGCCACTTGCGCGGGCCAAATGCTGGCATTAATAATGTGGCTATTTGTCAAGCACAAATTTCACCGCATCGCGCTTACAGTGCAGGCACACTATATTGAGCGGAAAATCTACTCGACTGTAAATCTGTACTTTATAAGAAGGAAGTTACCCGTACTATCACTAGCAAGTATTCCGATTATGCAAAAACCACGCCATTGACAACACAACAACAACACCAACACAACCCCATCATTAGGTTGAACTGATTTGCACTTTAATGTAAGGCTTCTGTAGAAGTTATGCCAAATGAACCGCAACAACGTTCTTTTAGTGTTTTTAAAAAGTGTGGTTGGAATTTTGAGAACGCTCAGAAACTCATAGTTGTCAGATGAAGTCAGTGTATCCAGAAACACTCCTACACAACATTCTAGAATTTTGGAAGCTTTTGCTCTACTGGCTCAATTCATAATGTCGCTGTAAGCTGGAAGTTCTTACTGTAATCTTACAGTATAGAGGGCAACGAGTGATTCGCTCTATACTGTAAATCTAAATCAAAACGCCTCAATCTACCGAATGGTACTCAAAGCTAAGGGAAAGACTCGATGGAGAGAGAGTTGTTAACCTTAAAAAACGCGTACTCACTCTTGGGACGCCTGTATGTTTCCACCATTTGGTAAGAAAGAAGTCCTTCCAGCCAACCATTCTCGAAATATTCTAGGAAGTCGGGCTACGAGTGAGGCTGGATGATTGCTTCCCACGGGGGAATCACTTCGGGAGTGGACAAATACTACATGCTCAAAGCCCTATGCTTATTCACCATCACAGTAGCTTCAAAAACTTTCGTCTTTTCAAAGATTGAATTCAAAGCCCGATGCTTATTCACCATCGCAGTAGCTTCAAAAACTTTCGTCTTTTCAAAGATTGAAGGCAAGCAAATTTCTTTTTGCGCCCATGCCTGAGAAACATTCCGAGCATGCCCTTCGACATGAGGGAAAAAAATGTGACAGCGTATACGGGTAGCTTTAAAATTGACTGAATTTTATTTATGCGAGAAAAAAGTAAGTAATAGCAATTTATAGTGTAGTTCCATCCTCGCTATCGTACTTAGAAGCATGTACTGATTGACTTTAGAGAGCATCGAGGTACTCCTGCTCCTTTTGTGTCACTCATAATTAAGCGATCCGAATTTTAACGTCAAATGAAAAATTAGCTGTATTGTCACATGAAGTTTCTATTGCATCTAAGAAAAACTTTCTTGGCTATATATGGAAGCTGCTCTTGCACTTTTTCTGGAGTCCACTCGGTGGATCCCATCAGGTATCAGTGCAAGTAGCCCATTCCGTACTGCTTCCTGCAACAACAGAGCTTCTTCGTCTGTTATAAGATTTATGATGCGTAACAACATCTCGGCGATAGTATGGGGAAAGATAAATATTGAGTTTGCGAAGTGCTGCCGTCGAATCATGTAAGCGAAATTTCCGCCACTTTGTCTACAGCTCTGCTTTTGACCAGGTATGCTCTGCGGAATGCAATTAATGTTTAAAAGTTCAAACCACACTTTTAATCTTGGGAAAAAAACTTCGTTGTGCTTCGTATCTGTTCTTTGTAAGGAAGTAATTCAGAACTTTCTTTCTCTTATTCGCACCACCCCAACTCATCCTCTAAGTATTCCAGTACTGCTAATCGTACAATTGCCTTCTAAGGTTATTTCCAGTCAGATGTGCTTTCTTTCTCACAAACACTGAAAACTTGAATATTATGTACACATTTGATTTTGCCTCACGGCATCAAATGACAAACGCAAACACGTCATTTAAGCGGCGCTTAGGAAATGCAGGTATCACAAGAGTACTGTAACCGCTGGAATTGCAGAAATCCCAGAAATCGCTGCAATAGTACGGCCGGTGCTTAACGGCTAGAAGTACAGACTTTCTTCGGCGCGAATATGTGCTCCGAAACTTGTTAAGCGCAACTTTACTCATTCCAAATAAATCAACACATAAAAAATCTTGAACTATTTATAACAAGCACATACATACAATCTTTGGACTTTCGATAATAGCGACTCATCACCACTGTTCCCCGCCCTCTCCCTTCCACCCAGTCTCTGATGCCGTTAGTGCTCATTGTACAACAAAAAATCACATCATAATGTTAGCAATACTCATAACCCGCAGTAACAACCTCCTCATAAGGTTCAGTCTCGAAAGCAAGATCTTCGTAATGCTCAGTGGACATCGGCTCTCGCGATTTATCAGGACTTTCAGTGCTTTCCACCTCAACCTCAAAACAGACCGCATCATCACCCTCGATATCTAAACGGAACCATATAGTACTGGCATGAGCACCCATGGCGACGACTTACGCTCATATCCTATATCTTCACCGTCTTCCTCGCCATCAAATTCGGCTTCTGTCGCTTGTATAAACCCATTTGTCTGTGGAACTCCACGGACAAGTTGCCCTTGCAAATCACGTATTTGAGAAACCAGCAAATTCACCTTCTCTACATTACGGGTCTGCCTTTTTTGCTCTTGCAGAATCTAAAAAAATGGTTAAAAATGTTGAGTTATTCGAACTACAAGTCGATCAAAGCGGTAGCGACGTCTTCTAAAATGGAAGACAATGTAGATTGGGGTATTCTCTGCAAATGAGAAGAGAGAGAATTCTCAACCCCCGCTTATTTATACACTACTAGTGGAACAGCAATTTGAAGGTACTAGGAGCGGACGCCGCTGCGAGACCCTCGCGGTTTCCCGCAATTGGAAGATTTTTGAACTGCGC